GGGTGTTTTGATTATCACTGCTTTTCTAAGACAAGAATTAATGGAACAAGAGCGAAAAAAAAATTTCAAATAACGGTGAGTGAGTGAGTGCCTCTGTGGTCGAATATAGCGTGGGCAATATAGTATTTAGGGTGCTCTCGTAACGAATATGGCACTCCTTTCTAAATCCAGGATGAAAAGTCGTGCCCGCACTTTTCAAATAATGGCAAGTTGGGTATCGTTTTTGAGGTATTTGGGGGTGCTCATTACGAACATAGCATTTATTTCTAAATCCAAGATGGCCGACACGACTTTTCAAGTAAATGTACTTTTCAATAAACACTCCTCACTAACTCCCCACTCACTCCCTACTCACTCACTCACTCACCACTCACTCACTCACTCACTCACTCACCACTCAATCACTCACTCACTCACTCACTCACGCACTCACTCACTCACTCACTCACTCACTCACCACTCACTCACTCACTCACGCACTCACTCACGCACTCACTCACTCACTCACTCACCCACTCACTCACAACTCACTAACAACTCACTCACTCACTAACCACTCACCCCTCACTCACCCCTCACTCACTCTCTCATCACTCACTCACTCACTCACCACTCACTCACGCACGCACGCACGCCCGCGCGCACGCACGCACGCACGCACTCACTCACTCTCTCATCACTCACTCACTCACTCACCACTCACTCACGCACGCACGCACGCCCGCGCGCACGCACGCACGCACGCACTCACTCACTCAGTCACTCACGCACTCACACACGCACTCACTCGCCCTATAAATTTATCATAATTGTCAGTTTTGTTTGTGTCAGTAGTTATATAATTTAAAAAAAAATGATAAATCAAAATTATATTTCTATACAGTGCAATGAACTTAATATTATCAGCAGTTCCAAATTTGAATGATTTTTGCGTCATTTCGATATATCCATAGTCAATACCGCAGTAATCACTGAACTCGAATGGCAATTCTCGCACTCAAAACGGTTCGAACCGATTTGTACGATAATCGTATGAACTTGAAAAAATGTCATACGAGATCGTGTTTAGATAGGTCGAAAACTCGTAAGCAAGAATCTCCTTACTACATATTTCTCCGTGTAAACAGTCGAGGAGGCGATTAAGTTGCTTACGAGTCTCGTATGACATAATCGTAGGCGAGATTTTAGTTCTTGCCTGAATGTAAACATTATGATACGATAATCTTATGGCGATTATTGCTTACGAGAATCGCCTACGAGTTTTTTACCTGCGCAGGTAGGCCGCTTGTCGTAGCGTATGTGGGAATATTCGGTATGCCGAACAAAAGACGACGACGATGCGATGATTCCTCAAGCATTTTTTTGTTAGTTGAATCGGATGTTGTCATTTTTTTATTACGCACTGCAGTACGGTGCGAACGTCGACTAACCTATTCCATAACTAAAAATCAAATGGCGCTACCTGCGCAGACGACTGTAGTTCATGCACACATGCACAGGTTCATCGTACGGTATCACTCAAAAAAAAATCTTTTCGATCTTGTGCCGGTCACCTGCACAGGTACACAAAACTGCACAGGTCTATTCCAACACACGTTCCGGTCTGCTTGCACAGGTCCGGTGTACCGTAGCGTCAGTGGCGCGCATTATCAATATCAATTAGGCTTTGGATTGGATGGACAATGCCAGACCAAGTGCGTTAGGAATACGACCAGCTAGTAGACTACACCAAAAAATTACAATACTGTGTCATCTGCTATAGAACGAGTAAAAATGAGCAAAATTGCAGACATTGCGAAATGAATTTCTTTATAAGATTGGTCTGTGGTTTATTCCATACATACTGTACAAATTTTGAATGGATATCTTTGTTACATTTGAATTTGTATACTAAGCAGCAAGCATTCGTGTTAGATGATATTATATTTCGTATATTTGGAATTGTCTTGCTTTTAATATACGTACGTGGAAAACTAGCAGCAGTAGAGCTCCTTGTGAAGTACTGCCACCTTGCCTATTTCTGCCGCCAAATTGTAATGTTAGCATTACTGCGTTCCGTGTAATATATTCATCAAAAGTTTTAATTTAATTTAAAACATACTTTTATACTAGTTCACCGCCTTTGTGTCTGTCTGAACCATCTGGTCGACGTGCCTCTTGCAGGTTTCATCGTCATCTGTCTCGACAAGGTAGTGGACGAAGCTCAGCACTCGTAAACAGTTCCGAAGTCCCATTTTCTGTTTTTTTGTAGCTTCGCATTTGTACTCTTTGGCCCGGTGAGAAAGTCCTTGTCTGCGTGTGTTGGGAGGTGCTCCGTATATTATCTGTTACATTACTCCTATATCGCACATGTTAATAGATGTCCTCATCTCCCTTCCAAACATGAGTTCATATGGGCTTTTGCCTGTGCTGGATCTGGGCGTCCTTCTCAAATGCTTCTTAATTCCCACTATCTTTTCCAGTACGGTACCCGGGCCAGAGCTCGCGGCTTGCAATGCCCTCTTGACCGTCTGGACCGAACGTTCCGCTTGCCCGTTTGTAGCCGAGTGATAGGGAACATAAATTTTGTGAACTACCGTTATTTTTGAGAAATGATTCGAACTCTGTTGATACAATTACTTCCGGTTATCCAAATATTACAAATAATTCCTTTAGTTTTTAAATGCACCATGAACTTGTTATAGTCTTAGTGGGAATAATATCTATCCATTTTGAAAATGCATCCACGATGATGAACAAAGACTGCCCTTGAGTAGGACCCGCGAAGTCTATGTGGAGTCTCCCAGAGGTAGTGTGGAGCCTGTGCTGGCTGGTTCTGGCTCAGCCTACATTCACGGCTTCCTCTAACTACTTCTTAGGTCCTCAATGTCCTTATCGATGTTTTTCCAGTAAACGAAATCTCGTGCTAGGAGTTTCATTTTCGCGATTCCTAGTCCTCTAGTCCCTTTCAAAATACAATCATCCTGCAACGTCAATACATTGTCATTGCAACCGTGTCGCGTCACACTCGTTCCTAACCGCAAAGACTGTAATACAGCCTCGCATTCAAGATCCCATCCTCGTCACCAATTTGTAACATATTCATTAAAACATACTTTTTATGTGCTACAATATTTTATTGAATAATTTATATATGTCAAACAACTCCATGACAACCCTTTACCAAAGAGATATAACAAAGGGTAAGGGTGCTGGTAAAATTACAGGCACATGGGACTTGTCAACTTATGTTTCAGGGTGACAGACGCAGTGGTAGTGCCCCTCAGATCTTTGGGATTGAAAACTCTGAGTGGCACTGCAACTGTTATGGACAGGCATGTAGCTTACCATCATCACGACTTGTTAATCCCATCACTTGATATTATAAAAAAAAAAAACAAAATGTATAATCACTTTATTTCAGATTCATCCTAAAATTCAGATATATCATGTTAAGCAAAGAAACTCTCAGACCGTGAACACTCGTGATGATGTATTTCACGTTCTACGTAATGAACGGACTTGGCCCAGTTAGGCCTAACACGGTTAACGCCTATGGTGCTTTCGGAATGCCCGACGACGGCAATAAACATTCTGGTCTGTACTCTCTGTCAATAAGCTACTTCAATTTGTTTATTAAGTTTACGACAAACAATCAAACGCTCATAATTCGAAATATGACAACAGCTCGCGAAAAAAAAAATTTTGGAAAGGTGATTAATGTAGTAATGTTTGCGTTACTAATGTCACTCAACGGTGCTTAACGTTGAACAAAAACTTTTATTTCTTTTCATTTAATTTTTGGCAAGAGAAAACTGGCAATCTCTGCTATGCTTGGAGTAACCGTCTGTACCATGGGGCTCAGCATTTACGGAAACAACAATTTAAAAGGCCCCATAAACTCTTATGACACTACCACATTCCCCAAACACACGAGGTAAAACACGGTAGTCCTGTTTTATGCCATGGCGATATTTATACAGGGTTCGGGATACCATGGGTACTTCTTGGTGAAGTATTCCCATTACGGTAAGATCAAATATTATATTTAATATATTTTTAGTAAGTCAAAAGGATAGCAGTATTTCATATGAGCAAATATTTTTTTTTTAGGAGCCGTGCGTTTGCACAAGGATTTATCGCTGCTGGCTACTATGTCATCATGTTCATCGGTTCGAAGACATTCATAAACCTTCAGTCGGAAACCCAACTATGGGGGGCGTTCGCAGTATACGCCGTCTTTGGTTACATAGGTACAAACTGAATTTATAAGAAAATGAATCTTACTACAGCGGTAAAATTCGCACCTTTGCTGATGATCCATTCATTAACTTCTTCAAGATATTTAAGATGACATGATTTTATATTCCTTTATTCCAGTGACACTTAAGACTAAAAATAAGACATTTAGACTAGGTTGAAGATATCCGTACATTCCTTATTTATATGAGTATGAGTATTAATAAACCATTGTTAAGTTATCTTTTTGTCAATGAGATTCGTGTAGAAACGTGGAAATGAAATGAAACTAAAATTATATTACGCAGTGGGATTCTCAACTTTTGCCATAAACAGAGGCAATGTGGTTTTATTGTCCCACAGCACTGCTAAGAAAGGTCGGTTTGCATTGAAGCTTAAAACAGATTCATGGTCATAAGAAAGTGCGACCGCGGAGATAACAGTGGCCGCCGCTGCGATACCACCTTCTTCGTCAATAGACAACATGGCGGAATGGACAGCTGTTGACACTTGAGGAGAATTCGTCCTGTACAGTCCGACACCAGACAATTGAGATTGATAACTGAAGATATTTGTTATACCCATCTGAAACAGAAATATAAATATTGATTTTTTTAGATTATCAAATAACTTTCAAACGTGTTCTTTGCCTAATTTTCGTGGAAAACTTATTAGTTTTTTACGAAAAGATCCTCCAACACTTAAATTACAAAAATTGCCACGGAAATTTAGCAGTGAACACCAATCCGATAATGATTGACTTATAGATATTGATTTTTGCGTTCGTCATACTTTTTGATTCATAATGACTAAATTTATTTAATTACGCTCCGCTTTTGGCCTCTCTCAAAAAGAAGGATAATACAATAGATTTAAATTTAGACCATGTTTTGTATGGCTATAGCTATGTATAGAATAAGCAACATTAGATAATAAAAAAATACGTGGTACCTTTAACGCCCTTAAAATATGGGTTATTTACTTATTTATTAACCACAAACCATTTACTTAAATAAATTGAATAGTCAACGTCGTTCACGTACCTTTCTGAAAACTGGATCAAGGTCTATATCTGCTCTTGCCGTGAATTTCGGTAGTCGAACATCGACATCCCTTGGACTGAACGTATTATATTGTATCAGTCTTTCGTCCGTCAATTTTGAGATCAAGTCGTCCAAAGTGCTCATAGTTGATGGTAAAATAATCATTAATGAATATTGTTCTTTCTAAAAATAAATATTCAACTGAATTATTATATTTTGAAGTTTATATGTGAGAATAAGACAATGTTTAGATTATACAGGTAAGGACGTTTCCGTTGACTGCCCTAAAATACTATGTATGATATGTCTCGGCGCCTATTTTGCGTGTGACACTAACTAATATCATTATTATATCTGTTATTGAGGAACTTTAATTATTGTACTTTTACATAATTCTCCCAACTCCTAAAATCAAATAACAGCAAGAGTTGCCCTAAAAATTAAAACCAATGTCTCTTGTGATTTAAATAACGGCTTGGTAAAGAAAGATTACATACCTCAAAAGGCAAAATAAGAACTTGAGTGCCAAGTTCAGTATCATAACCAGTCTTCAATGCTCGTTTCGTATGCATAAACGGCACTGGCCTTACAGAACCATCGCTGTATCGGAATTCACGAGGTAACGTGGCTTCTGACCTGAATTTCACCGCCCATAAACCTTTGAAGTAGACTGCGTTGACCAACACCACTTGAGTGTATTCACCTACTGTCCCTGCAATTAATGAAGAATAATAACAGTCAGAAGATCATACTTCTAAGCCAAGGAAGAGTACAGAGTATACGTATATGTAATTCAAGTACACAACTAAGTACTATCTCCGAAATCAAATAGATTCTTTCTCTCTAAGCAAAGTGGTCATCTGGCGAAGTTTCCGATAAACCCGATATCAGCAATCTAAAAGCCAACGAAGTGTGAAAATCACAGGTACGCCGTAATAATACAGGTAGTATTTAAAAGCTACTTGTTATCGTTTTTGTTATTAACAATAATAGTACCTTGTGCCAAAATCCTTTCAATCTTATTGTTGGTTTTTGTAGAAACCCAATAGTTGATCTTGTCTACAGCATCCGATCTGTAGAATTGCGTCGACGTAACTTCACTTCCAAATTGTTGCAGAGCTTTGGTTTTAAACATCTTGTTCAGGTCAAAAGCATCAGATATAAAAATACTGTTAGCCACTTTCAGAAGATTCCGTGACGTACGTTTCTGGAATTAAATAAAGCTTACTTTCACTTTATTGTATGCGAAGACTGTATAAAATGAGCCGTTTCTAAAAACGAGTTAAAATTCCTGTGGTAGCTATAAAATTTTGTTTAGTTCTTTTTGTATCTTAAACCTTGACGAAATCATTATAATGATCAAACATCAATATTTCTTGTATCAGATAATATTAATTGTATATATCAAATATATGTATAAAATAGGAACCTGTTTTTGGTTTTCGTAAGGCACTTTCCTTATAATATTAGATAAATATAGGAGGAACCAACCAGTTGACCTCGCGTTGATAGTGTGTGCTGTGCACAGAGAAGGTAATGAATGCTATAGTGATACAAACTTACTCTCTTCAAGCAATCATTTACATAGAAGTAGCATTATGTATTAGTCATATGGGCTCGTCAAACAAGTAAATTCGCATTACGTGGGCAACTAAACTTTTTATTATTATTATTGTTATTTCTGTTATATTTCGCACAGCGGCTACAGTAAGGAAAACCGTAAGAAAACTTCACGCGTGAGAAGACACTTTGTTTCTGGAGATTTAAGTTGTTATATATTAAAATTGTGTATCAATATTGTCGAGTAATGTTTACTGTTCTTATTTTTTAATAAGCCAGCTTAAAATTAAGAATTAAAGACCTAGAAAGAAAAATGAAGTACACGGTTCTGTTTGCAATCTTCAAAAAAAAAAAATTAACAATAAATTTTATAATCAAACATCGATTTGATACTTCTTCTTGTTTTTGTTTATTGGCGGTGCCCCTTTTAAGATTGATGTTCTAATTAGACCGCAATGACAATATTCTGATATAGACCATACAGACCATACAATTTCTTGGTTATATTTATTTTATATAACCACAGGACTTTGAGCATTCGATTGTCCATAAACAAAGTTCGCTTTGCGCCATACTTGTAACACTTAAAAACAACAAGTTTTACCTGAATGTCATCAAGAAATGTTTTAAACGCTCCTGCAGAATAGTCCGGAGTCATCTGTAAAGCTGTCGTGATTTGCTGTTGTGTTTCACCCAAAGCTCCTTGTTGCAGCAACGCCAATAGTGTGACAATTGAGAAAGGCGAGACTACCACGTTCGATGACGAAGGAATACTCTGCAAAAATAGGAAAGTGGTTTATTTTAGAAACATCTTAACTGTGTGATTTTAAAAGTGATTTCACTTTAGTCTTACCCTAAGAACATTCAATCCAAAATTAGCAACCGCTCTGGACACTGGAGCATTACCTTCAGGGGATGGTGTAGTTTGAAACTGTAAAGGAATTTGAAGATTTTGCCCAGAAATCGGACTAATTTGTTCCATGCTCTGAGAATTCTGCTGCTTGACCGGAATCTGACTGTTGGACGGCCTGATCGGTTGGACCTGCTGGTTGAAAACTTGTGATTGTCCTTTTTGCGACTGAAGTTGTGATTGCGCTTGAGGTAGTTTGTTCTGCGTTGGGGCTTGATTATGCAACATCATAGGTCCTATGGGTTTAAATGTGTCATCATTGTATCGGTCAATATTATAAAATGGGTCATTTAAAAACAAAGCTGGCTGATATTGTAGGTAAACGTGTTGTAAATCTGATCTAACATTATTAATGTTTTGTTTTACAGTTGTAGGATTTCCAGGGGTAGGTATAGTGTGGAGAAAGTTTTGATCTACTTGACTTTTAAACTCAACACTCTTTTGAACATCGACGTCTGATTTTTCCGTCGTTACTCGGTCGTTTGTTGGATTTCTCCAGTTATTTTCTGCGAAGTATATGTGATCTCGATTGTTTCTTAACGGTGTTGTCGTTTGCAGTTCAGCCCTTCTCGCTACGCTACTCAAAACTAGTATAACTGAAAGAATACAAAGTTCACAATAAAACATAAACTGTGTACCTACGACCAAGTGTTTTGTGTTTTATTTTGAGTTCTTTGTTACTTTTTGTATTATTCCTACTTTATCGGAATTTTTAGGTAAAATTACATTTTATATTTTTATTGAATTGTCAAAAAAATGTTCCTAGTAAACTATTTACACAAAACCAAGGGTTTTCACCAATTACGCAATATTTATTTCGACCAAATGTCCATCAAAATTATTAACGTCGCAGTTTTAGTGAGTAGGCAAGCAGGATATACAAATTATTTGAAAATAATCGTGTTTAACGATAATGGTAAGTAATTTATACGTAACAACAATGAACCAACTTACTAATTAACAGCTTCATATTGCCTCGAAAATTCAATAGTCAAGGTCAACAACAGGTCACTCCAATCGTTTACTTTGTCGTTTTGTTTCTTTAACCTCTAAAACATGTCAGATAATTCACAATTTACCGAGTACTTGCAAAGATGCGTGCGCGCACAAAGAAGACTTGGCACTGTACTTCCAACAAACACCGTCTCTCCGTAGTAAGCAACACTATTACCACTAGTCATTCTAACTTAACCTGAATCTACAACTTCTTAAAGTCTATTATTGAATAAAATGATAATTTAACAAAATTCCTTAGAAGTACACATAATCTGGTTTGGCGTTTTGGTTTTTCCATTGTAGCCGGTTTCCTCGATGCGTCTTCGGAGCGCACGTCGGATAATCGTCCTAAGTTTGCTTTACTTAGTTACAGATATTATACTAAATAAAACTTGGTCACGTTTTGATTGTAAAGCAGTGTAAACTTGTTATTAAAATCATCTTTATAAACCACACTTGTTATAATGTATATATGGACATTACACGCTACTTGATTTTTTTACATTGGTAATTAAATAATAATTTCCATATCTTGGATCGTAGCCGTGACGTCATGCGTGTTATTCGATAAATAGCCTTATGCAAAATAACAAACTGGAATGTCTAGTCATTTGTTTATATATTAAAGTCGCAATTAGCTTGATTTTTTAAATATCCTAAATTAAAATAATGAAATGTACTGCAACTAAACGTCACGCGTCATTATTTCTCAGTAGCAGTAGACCTCCTTAGGAAAGAGTTCGTCCAGGGAAGCCACCTTACCTGTTTCTGCCGCTAAGCAGTAATAAGAGCATTACTGCGTTCCGGTTTTGAAGGTTAATAAGAGTGCTGGTGAAATTACAGGCACATGGGACTTTTCTACTTATGTCTCAGGATGATGGGCGCAGAGGCAGTGCACCTCAGACCTTTGCAATTTAAAGCCCCGAGAGGCACTGCAACTGTTATGAACAGGCGTGTCGTTTACCATCAGGCGCACGACTTATTCGTACCATCACTTAGTACCATAAAAAAACATATTATTGCACGAAATCAAATAATTAATGTGTACTGACGACTGCACTTCAAGCTACACATTAACGGATTTGTTTCATTGCACTGGAGGCGATATTCAAACAAAAGTGTATAGATGTGCAACAGCACAAGTCAACAGACTTGTCGACCTGTTGACCATTGTCAAACAATGCACTTAGGCGAATATTTAATGGTTAAGTGAGTTTTACGTATTCAGTACATGTTATCTAAAACAGGTACTTTTTTATTAATAATCTCAGTACAAAGTGCTAAAAAACCGACCTCAAAAGTAGTTTATCCCTCGGTTTGCCACCCTTAGGGACCACTTCTGACAGACACTCTTTCCAAAAAAAAAGGATCATCAAAATCAGTTCATAAATGCCGACATAACATAATCGACGACGACGGTACGCGTTAGTCAGCAAAATGCCTATTCACTCTAGTGTTGTATATATACGTAGTAAATCACCTAATTTTATTCCTAGTAAAGATATCTCGAAGTACAAGTATTTTAATAATAAAGGTTGTGTTGAGGAAAGCGGAGCACGAGATTAGTGAAAAACCTTTGGTATCCGTCGTCTAAATCAAATACGTGCCTACATAAGAGGAAGTTATTGATATTAGACGTCTGAGTGGACTAAGAATAATTAAGACTAAACTAGCCAATGGGATTTCGTGTACAGTGAACAGCGCATAAAGCTACACACTTTTGTTAGAATATCGCCTCCAGTGTAATGGAACAAGATTTGTCAATGTGTAGTCTGTACATTAAATAATAGTCTACGGGATAAGAGAACGTATCAAGTTTGACTCTAAATATTTAAATTCAACTCTATATCATTTTTTGTATTTAATGTGCTCTTAAAAAGCTATAACGACAAAAGTACAGTTGTATGAGTTGTTATAACTTTTTAATATATTTTTTTTAGTTTTCTGGCATGTTTTCTTTGAATTCTATAGAAAATATTATAAATGTAAACTTGGGGCGTAATGAATTTAACAGGAAACTAACAAACCTCGACCTTGGACTTTAGCTTCTAAATCACGTCAAATGAATGTCATTGAGTTCGATTACTTAATATTCAATATAATTTTGATCAATTATATAATATGAAGCGCTCTCACAGAATTCTCCTTTCAAAATCAAGTTTTCTAAATAAATACGTCATCTAAGTTTCTAAATCAATTAAAACAAACGGAATGAATTAATTTTATTGCAATGTGTTGTAAAGCTACTAAGGAACGAACCGCGACGGTTATATCGCTCATGAACCAAATATAATATAAATAATTGTTAAATAAAAAGTTTTGGCATAATATTGTAATTAAGCCTTTCGGTAAATCATTATGATATTTTTATATCTTATAGCATTTGCCCTGTTAATTTCGTTAATCAAATCATCATCATCATCATTAAAAAATTATGTCATAAAATATAGCTTTTTTGGAAATGGTCTTAAATTAATTGTAATGTTTTATTAAAGGTAAATTTTCTGAAATTGTGTATTTAAGTTAGGTAGGTATTGTATTTTCGATTATTTATGGTCTGACAGATTTTTTTTTTGTTTTTTGGAAATGAAATCAAAAGCGTGTTTATTCAAATAATAATTTATTAAATTAACCTTAAACATATCACATCATCATAACTCAAAAAATAAATATAACTTACAAAATTAACTTAAAAACTAAACTGTGTACTTTTTCATTATCAAATGCTTCTGGTTTTTGTTGACAACTTTACACTTACGTATGTTGTACCCTAAATTAAATATTGAAGCTCTTATTAATAAAATCTTCCTTTATTATGTTATTTAAGCGTCAGCTTAGCTGCACGCAGTCAAAAGGGCTAAAAAAATTACTGATTCCCCATTCATAAACTCCGCGAAACAACTGCTCAATTAAGTTTTGTTTAGGCATCCCTCATTTAGCAACGTTGACAGAATTCGACTTTAGTTTGAGACAGGGACCAAATTATGGAATTCTTTGCATGAAAAGTCTACTATAGTTGGACTGCGTTGATACCTGGATGACGTGTAATACTGATTGACACCAGCTTGCTTAAACATTTATTACTAATTACTGGTTGTAAATGTATGTAATGTACTGCTAATGTAAAGTAGAGCCATTTTAACGCCGCGTGCTTAAGACTTACATACATTTTTACAAACTTAATATTCAGTGCAGGTTTCTCTGATAGTCCAGGATAAATAGGTATAGTTAAAGGTCGGTAGGAATGGATACTTTTCATCGATTATCGTGTTTGGCGACAATGTCTTTACAAAGCACGATAAGTTGAGCATTAAAAAAAAGCAAAAAGATGTCACTGGGAAAACTGCCGTAAAAGTTGCGATTTCCTTTTCAAACCTTTGAAAGTCTCGGCGTTGCCCTCACGAGTCTGGAATCTTTTATTAAACTTGTAAAGTTTTATCTCATCTTGTTTAACTGTATACAAGATGTCAAAATAGTTTTAATTTGCAGATAAACCGCCGATTTAATGAACTAACGGTAAGCGTTTGGTTCTGCGGATTTCTTTAAACCATTGTTTACTTTTTAAATCTCATTTTTTTTAATAAGAGCCTTACATTTCACAGCAAACTATTTTTGAATTTTCAAATAGACTTCTGTGTAACAAAGTCGTTAAATAAATTTCAAAATTATAATTGGAGATTATGAATTACAGTCAATTGCATAAAAATGATGATATTGAAATAAAATTTTATAATTGGTTATCCAATTGGATAAAAAAAAGGAAGAATGAATTTTAAATTTCAAATGGGGTGGGTTGCTGTGGGTCAACAACTTTCCCGGCGACGACGACCAAATTGTCCAATCGATCAACAATGAAGAACAGGAAGGGATGTTCCACACAGAACTTACGAGGAACCTCGACACTGGACAACGGTAGATTCTTGAGCTCTTCTTTTTCTTTCACTGGATCGGCAGCTGAAAAAAAATTAAGCCGAGTGTATTTAAGTGTACACAATAAAAAGCATGTGTAAAAAATATACCAGGAGTGAATCCAGTGTAGAATCAGTTTCTGTACAGTGGAACGCTGATGTGATATAAAGGGTGCGGTTTGTAATATATAACAACAAATGACATATTTTTAGTCGATATAACGCTCAACAGATATAATTAATTTATGGTATACAGACATTTGACATATTCTTGCATGATGTAAAGATCATTGGGTATAATAGACGATTGATATAACAAATTTCAATCTAATATACCGATGTCATAATGTTCAATTTATATAAACACTTCAGATATAACATTCACTGAGTACAATCTATTATTAATATAATTCCGGTGATGTTCAGGTGCAATGGTAAATGAACCGAATTTGTTTGCATTTGCTAGTTGGTACGACCTCCTCCTGTGGGTTTAGGTTAGGTTAGTATATGATAAAGCTGCACGAGCCGAAAGAGCGCAGCGAGCGTGCCGCGGCAGCGGCCGGCGAGTGCCAGAACAGAATTTGTTTGCATTTGCTAGTTAGTTCGACCTCCTCCTGTGAGTTTAGGTTAGGTTAGTATATGCAATTACATATTCTATTTAAAGTTTTCATAAATATATCTTTTAATACAAAAAGCACTTAAAGCAATACAAAAACAAACTGTATTTTGCGATTGTATATTTAATTAAATAAAAAAATTCTTATCAATATAATAAAGGGTGCTTCAACTATTCCTAAAACGAAATATTGTGTTATATTATTTAATACATTATACTGGTATTTCTTATACCATTTGTTCTTTATGTCACTTCATCATTATATCTAATGTTTGTTATACTGAAGGTTCATTATACACATTGAAATTATGCCTTTTTTTGTTATATCTTTTGTTGTATATACACATCCTTATAAATTATATCAAAGGTTGTTATACAAAGTAAAAACAGATTATTTATTGTTATAACTTCCATTACACACCCGCGATATAAAATTTAAAAAAGACAGCATATAGATAGTATTCTCAATTTCCCAAATTAAATGTTCGTATAATAATGCCATAAGAATATTTTTTGCAATACGCTTGTATGATCACGAATATTGGGGCCATAATTATATATTCATACACACCACTTAATTGTGAAGCGGAGGAGTCAGCGTTGTCAACGCGCACGGCAACGTGCTGTACCAACTCCTGCACGAACAGACCTTCGACCGTAGAGACCCCCGACAACTCTGCCTCGCGGCCAAAGATGTTACTCACGCCAAACTGTGTAAACGGTATCAAAATAACATTTTAACTTGATAATTCCAGCTCTTGTTTTATAGTTTATGATACTGACATCTTGTACTGATTACGAAGCAATCAACTTATTTGTTCATATGTAGTGTATAGTCCAAAGAAACTTGGTTACTGGAAACGCTAACTATAAATACTCAACAATGTCCACTCAACAAAATGTTATGGTAATATTAAAGGTTATTTTAAAGCAAAAAAGTTTGTTTTTACCTTAGCCAAAGCAGCAACTGGCTTTGTGGTAGTTTCGACGTAGAAAGTAGGCAAGGAAATAAATAGTTCTTCTTCTTGCAAGTTGTCTTGGATTTCGGAAAGCGGAGCCACTGACAAATCTGCAGTGAGACGGGTGAGACCGTCACGGGATCCAGGCACTACCAATAGAAGTGCATATCGTCCACCCTGTTAGCAACAACGAATTTCGCTGATATTAGGATCATCTTTGATAGTCTATCTAACAAGTGAGTTTTGGAAGTCAGCTATAGGTATATAAGTTATTTTAAGACATGGAATTTAAGAATCGAATTTGTTTTAATTTTGCAGACACATTCTGCACATGAAAATAAAGGGTTTCGCGAAAATTTCATTCTATTTTATGGTATATTTAAAATTTTTGTTTGATCATTATTAATTCATTAGTCAATTTAATTAGCACTTTTCAACACAACTTAAAAAATCGGAATTTAATTTTTTTCACTTCAATTTTAAATAAAAAGTGAAAATTTCGAAATAGAATTCAAACAAACTTTACATTTCGCATACACGCAGTTCACGTTTACAGGGACTAGGTTAGTCGAGATGTTAATAATAGGTACCACAAAAAAAATAAAAATATGAAATGAAACAGTTCTAGTCAATTGTGATTAGTAGAATAAAAGATGTTGGTCGACCTCTCAAGAAGAAATGCTTGTCCTGACAAGCACCTAAGAGACGCGAATTATTTCGCACCTGATTAAAGACTACCTTTTAATACATACAATCTTCAGTATTGCTAACATCTTTGGTGTCATAATCTAAAAAAACTAGTCTCAGCCTTTTGGTATTTTTCAATCTCTATTTCTACTTTCTATATCATAAATTTATTTGCATTCCAACATATAGTATACTATTACGGTCACATCTAATTTTATGTTTTATGACTGTGCCAAATTACTGGTCTCGTTTTAAATAACTGTTTCAAAGTATTTGGTTTCTGGTGGCTTTCTCTTTAAAGAGTGATAAATAAGATGTAGACGTTTTCTGCTTACGTCATAAGGCAATTCAATAGCAGTGCTGTCCAATCCAGGCAAAGATCCGGTCTTGAAAACGCCCTTAGTCTTCATCATTGGCACCTGCTTCTTCTCTGTGTTAGATTTGTAGAACGTTCCAGGTTCGACCACGTCGAAAGGCTGCTTCCAGGACCCACGGAAATACATACCATTGAAGATTATCATTAGAGAATTGGAGGCAGATGCTGTGGAGAAAATAAAAAAAATTACAATATGATTGATTGGCTTAGAATGTACTGCAAATAATACTACTTTATTTATATAGAAACGCGTCGTCAATCAAATTCAATTTACTTACCCTTGTTATTAGATTTCTTGCCAACGCTGTTCACAGAGATACTGGATGAAATGTCGTTCTTGTCCTTCAACACCTTTAGACTCCTTGCGTGGTTTCTTGCTTCAACAGCAACCATTGTCTCCTCTTCTTCACCAGAATCGTCTTTTTTTGGGTAAGTTTTTACTAGCTTTATCTTCTCCTTTATGTTCTTTGCAGGTTTGTAGTCGCTGGAGGAAATATCTACTTTTTCTGGTTTATCTTCTACAGCAAAAGAGATCAACTTCTCATCGGTTTCTTTTGGCGGCATCAACTCAAGTATCTCCTCATTTTTATTATGCGTCTTCTTTTCTGGCACGTCGGCATTAAATTCTGTCTTCTCACTAGTGTCATCATCATCATCATCATCAATCTTAATGTGCTGCTCAGGACTGTACTTCTCTACAGACCTCACTTCAGTCAAATAGTAATCTTCTAGAATTTTCTTGTAGTCATCATTGATTGTATAGTTTTTGTAAATATAGAAATAGTTCTTTAATTCTGGTTGGTTATATTTGTATTCGTGTGTGTTCTTTAGTTTTTCCATAATGAAACGGAACGTTTTGCGTGTGAGATTGGGGTCTTTAGGCAAGTGCAGAGCTGTGACGAGCTGTTCTCGTGTCTCACCACGGGCCCCCTCAGCAAGTATTGCTAAAATAGCTGAGTAGCCGAGAGGTGAGAATGCAATATTTCTATTATCGTCGATGTAGCCCTGGAAAATGCAAATATTACTGTAATTCTATTAATACCAGCAACTCGGTAAGAAAAGGCCAAAAATTGTTTAAATCTCGAATTGACGTTGCTTCAAATGGTAGTAATTTCATTAAATCATCCATACCTGGAATATGGCAGTAGATAGTTCATTGGTGGCCTCCCCGACGAAACTCGTGACCCTGGGCTGATAGGCGCGACCGCGGCGCACCCACCGCGCGCTGCCCAGAGCCACCGCTAACAATAGCACTGCAGTTACAAACAATACACTTTCATACCAACAGACATGACAGGTACCAGAAATAAAAGAAAAATATTATATGAAACACAGTCCCTGGCATAGACATTCGTTTTACCCAGAATAAAAGGAATTGGCAGACCTCGCAAGAAGAAATACTTGTTCCGACAAGCATTTTAAAGAAACCAATTATAGTGCGCACTTCATTGAAGATTCTCTCATATAATGAACTTTTTGTATTTTTAGTCAATATGAACGGTCTATATTAAAAAACAAAAAAGTTGCGAAAATAGAACCAAATACATAGTTACGAAAACGTCATTCTTCATTTGTCATTTACAGCGTCAGATTGAAATTTCAAGTTTCTGCTCTAGGGGCTAGAGCCAGGTAGGCTCTCATCCAGAAGGCTCGGGTTCGGTTCCCGGTATCGGAAAGAACAAAGTGGACTATATTTTTATTTTTAATGTTACCTACATAATATAGTCTACACTACTGTTAACATCTCAGATGTTGCAATGTTAAGAAAATTAGGCAAGAAGTCCTTGCCGAGATTGTCAAATAGGTATGTCATTATCAAACAAACTAGTTGTATTTTGAATTGCAAATAAGTTAAAAATGTTGTTAGTTTAGCTTCGTGCTATTTTCCCCATTCAAGATGTTAATCCTTATAAGATATAATCTTATAACTGTTCTGTGATAAAGACTGGTTCTTGCGAAGTCAGCAGGAAGTAGGTCGCGACTCGCGTTCAAGTAGCGGTACCGATGCACTTAATATCATACTACCTAACTGTGAACGAAGGATGTGAGCAATGTTAGGGTCAAGAAGCAAACAACACGTGGGATTAGATATCTCAGTTCAAACGTAACCTAATTCAGTTAAAATGGAGACACAAACATATTTGTCATAGCTCAGTCCCATTCACAAACATTCAGGCGCACGACATGTTCGTCAAATAACTTAGTACCATAAATAAATAAATAAATAAGATGAAATTAACTTTCAGTTCTGTCTGGCAGTACGATAAAAATCATTTCTGTTCGCGGCTGTCTATGATGTTACGACAACGCGACTTTTTATTCATACGAGCGCCAGCTTTTTTTTTACTTTTTTTTAAATAAAATATAAGTGCACATTTGACCTCCATCTCACCTGATGGAAAGTGACGAAGGATGCAAGCTTTCGTGTATTTTAGATTTATTTTGGCATGCGTAGAATAATATTTGTCTCATTTTAGTAGTAATTCAAAATTGTATGATTGAAGCCAATATTTACACACAGTAGGTGCTTATATACATATAGGTATATTCAATGCTTAGGGAACCATAAAACCACTGGATGCGTTGCCGAAAATTATTTAATCTACATACATCACACGTTAAAATCAATGACGTCATTAAAGGAAACGTCAATGAAGGAAACGTTAACTTTCAGAAAATGGCGTTTAAAGTTTATGAAAATAAAGTTTGAAACAGCGAGATTTTCATTTAGAGACCGAATTGTTTTGGAACGTGTGCCATAATATGGCATATTATGCAGTTAGACCGCAAAAACAATGTCATCCATGAAGAGAACTACATATATTTATTTGAAATCAATAAGTCATTAACGCTGTACCGTACCTAGTATTGTACTTTATTGCATGCTTAGAAACGATGCCTGTTTGTTGTTCAACTAACGGAAACGTTGTTAGGAAGTCATTGGAGCGTAATTGCATAGGCCATGGTGATTTCAATAATTGCCATCTATAGAATAAGTTTGCCTGGTGTGTAATTATATATTACGCATGCAAATTCAATTTCGATTTGAGTGAGAAAACACTATTACCCATTGTATTATATGGTACTACGCACTCAAAATATTTAAAAAATATTTGCTTTGATTTCTTGTTTTTTTTTTGCATTTTGGTCGCGAAAATGAGTTCTAGTGAAAAGAACGATAAAGAAAATACAGTAATGGATACACATTCAACCACATTATCATCAGAAGTTCAGCAGACTACAACAGAACTAATGTGCCTGGGAAAACAATGACCTTTTCGTTTAGCTATTGTCCTAACCTGTCAAATATTACTTTTAATATTGTTTTTTTTCATTATGTTCTGTATTATATAACTTGTTCTCTTTAGTCTTTTATTATTTCCTCACATTGTTGGAAAAGAGCACTATATAAGTCTCGGTGGGAACGGGGACAGCTTGTTTCGTATCTTATAACTCGTACACGTCCAGCAATCCCTTACCATTATACACCCTCATATTGTAAAATTAACCTTCGTAGGTTTCTAGTACAGCATTTCTATTAATAGAATTGTTTGGACAACAAGAGGTTATAGCCAACTTTTTTCTGTAGACGATACAACGTTATTGCGAAATATAGAAAATATCAACGCCACTTGTGCCGTATTTTTTCTATGAGAAATGGTGCCATGTTCGACGTTGCATGCGTGGCAATGTGAGCACAAGCGGGCGCATCTTGTAACAAACAACTGTACGCGCTGAGGATGACACAGTTGGAGGCTCTTAGCGAAGTGGTCGAATTGTAGACGTAGGTCATGGACGACTTCCCACGATCCGACATTATATTATAGAACTCTATGGCTACATATTTTTGAGACAACCTGTATATTAATGACTTGTTCGCAAACGACTATACTGTTGTTTTTAATAGTGTAATGAAATTATCAATAGCTTACCATTTATATTTAATTTTTTAAAACTGAATAATCATAAAATAATTATTAATAACATCAAAATATTGAGTTTTAAACAAAGATAACTATGTAAAATTAAGTTACAAAATTCACAATGAAGATAACTGAATGTCATGAAAATCTCAAATTGATCATGTTTCTTCCACATTAAATTAACGTCTTACTCTATATTTAAGCCGAACAAAATTGTTGAAAGTGAAGTTGTTCTACAGGCTTACCACATCTACGTGGCTTCTACTTTGAAACGTAGTAGTTTACTAGTTAGTTATTACTAGTTTGGGGTAATGCTTCAGATGTTGATTTCGTGTTAAGTGTTCAAAAATAAATGTGTGAGTGCTAGCTGTAATTTGATGCGGACAGTCAGCTGCAAACCACTTTATGGAACTTCATTTGCTAACAATATCGGGGCTATATGAGCATATTTAAAAATGTTCAATTTTCATGAGAAGAAACCCAGAAACAGATTCGTGACGTTTTACTGAATAAACTAGTCCTATGTGTTTCCATATATAAAAATTATACAATGATAACTTTTGTAATAACTTAATCTTGCCCATGACTAGAGTTAACTATGCCAAGAGATCGATGTTTTGAGAGTGTACAAATCTTTAACAGACTGCTCTCAAATATAAAGTGTAGCATATTATTCACTGAAATAAAGATTTATAATTTGTGTAATAATAATAACTATTAACCTAATAATGTAAATTTGTAAACAGTTAAACTCTCAACTCGTGTTTGTATTTTTCTTTCATATATATATATATATATATATATATATATATATGCCAATTATGGTAGAATAAGCCGTCCGCCAAATAAATTGATTGATTGAAGGAGACCAGATAATTAGTGTGATCGACCGGTACTTAAGTTATTGTTGATTATCGGTGCAGGCGCGCAAGTGTAGGCGGCAGAATGAAGTAAAGCACGCACTACGGTGAATGCACTTCGCTGACCCTCTGCTATTGTACTCTCGCCACACGGACCTAGGCGCGATAGCAGATAAACTCTCCAACAAATACTTAATATCTATTTAAACCTATTTTTCGAAGAGGTAACGTCTTGTTTGTTTGAAAAAGTTCAAAACCTACCGAGTATTTTTATTTCAGTGCTAACGTATTCAAATATAGCTGCAGAGGTCGTAAACCAGTGAGAGAACTGTTGCTTCTCAATTTGAGGAGGGGCGGCGGTTCGAATCCCTGTAACGGCGCGTACAACAGCACATCAAACTGTACATTGACGTATCTTGTTCCGTTGCACTGGAGGCGATTTTCGAACAAAAATGTGTAGTCTGATGTGCTGTTGTCGGTACAGTTGTTAATCGACGTCATTATAATTTCAATCGAAAGACGCCCTGAACGACTAGATACAGGTCTTTTTTTGTGAATGTTTACTATCAACATATCTTGCTAACAGTGAAAGAAAAATAATTACTAAAATCTGTACGCTGAAAAAGGTTCACAACGCTTGGAAAACGTATGACGTGTCCAATTATCCTAACTGTGCCAAAACCTTCTCCTTACAGGAGGCCAGTGCCCAGGATTAAAACGTATTGATTGTGACTGAGCTATATTTATTGCATTTCGATACTTGGTTCAAGTTAAACGTCAAGAATCTACACGGATTTGATTTGCAGTGGAGAAAGTGACCTTCCTATATACATATAGTGATTGCTTACTACGTGTGTTTGTTACTATTTAGCAGTGTGTAGGAAATAAACAGGGAAAGATCTACCTATTCTGCCGTCGTTACGAAAAAAGTCACAACTATGCGTACTTTATACAGCAGTTGTGCCTTTTTTCGTTCGGAGGGCAGATTACCTACCGCCGACATTTAGATCAATACTTTTCTGACAATGAAAATCTATCAACAATATACTTAATTTTGGTTACAAATTGCATGCATCACATCTGCAATGTACTAGTAGATAAATATTTTTAAGATATAAGTTGCACATCTGTTGGAGTGTCACGTGTAGGAAAGCGTACCGTGCCAGAAAAAGTACCTATTATACACAAATTAAATTTGAAGAATATAGATAAAGTGACACAATATCTAATACTATGAAAATAATAACAGTATCTAATCTCTTACAGTATCTTTTTTTTCTGTATTTAATTTTAAATACTTGTATAATAAATTAATGTATAATAATTTAAAATTAAATACACAAAAAAAAGATAATATAAAACACATTTTCATTGACATTTTCCTACGAGTATATCTATAACAATAACAGCTTATTTTTCAGGACTAAGATGTCTCGTTTTAGCATGAAGATAACTTCATGTTCATGTTTG